ACGGAATTTTTTACTGTGTATGGATTCCTCAATACAATTCTAACGATATAACCGCACTTGCCTTATCGGGAATTTTTTCATGTTCCGTAAAATATTGACTTTTTCTTGACTTGCAACAGGTAATTTAAGCGCTGCCTTTTCCAGATGTTTCGATTTGCATGGTGACTCTTGTTACAGGAGAGAACTTGGTGCCAGCCCCTCCGCGCCCAGGCGAACAGCGGCCACGACCTCCCCGCTCTCCACCGCCACCCGCACCTTCACCGCCACCACGGCCAAGAGGTACGCTGACGCCGTAGTATGGTTACAGACAAAAAAAGAGTCCGCGTATTTAGCCAGTGCCAGAGTGGTGAGCCATTTCTAACGTACAATGAACGGGACATTTTCCAGGTGGAGCGGCGGGACGACGTCGAGGGCGGCGCCCTGGAGGCCAGAACCGACACGCCCCAGTTGAGGTCGAGGTGGTCCGTCGCCAAGGCCCCGGCAGGCCCCCGACCCATGGCCGCTACACGAGAGCCGCAAGACTCGCCAGAGCAGCCAGAGGAAGGGGGCAAGCCCCACGCCCACAGGCGGCCGAAATGCCGGGGCGCCAGGAGCCTCCAAACCCGGCCAACAACGGTAGGTTCTGAGCCGCGATGGCTCTTACTGTGGGTTTCGTCGCTACACATGTTCTTTGCTTTTTGGCCCGTCCCGTTCATTTTTGGCCCGTCCCGTTCATTTTTGTAAAAAAATATGACGGAGGGACGGGCATATAGTATGATGCCCGCTGTGCGTCCGTCCGTCCGTTCGTCCGTTCTCCGTTCGTCCGTTCGTCCGTCCGAGGACTTCCCCTGGTCCCATCTTGACCAAATTTGGTATGCAGCCTCCTTTGGGGGACCCTTAGAACCGCCCGGTGGCAGCAAATCCGATCCGAGCCCCGGGGGGGCGCTGCAGGTGCATCATGGTCTACATGGGGCGAGGAGGATCTCGGCAACGGATGCAGCTAGAAGGGCATGTAGGGGTATTTTTTGGGAAACGGGGTGACGAGAAAAAACCAATGGTGCCAGTTTCGAGCAAATCGGAGAAGTTCGGACCCGGGTTCAAATCCCAGCGGGGTATTTTTTGGGAAAATTTTTTTTTTTCGAGTTTTTGCATTGTTTCTGATGTTTTTTAGGGTGCTGATGACGAAAACGACATTTATTTTTAAACCCCCGACCCAGATTTTAAATTTCCCCTCAGGGTCAAACATAGGAGAAATTGTATTTCTTTAAAGTAGGGAGGGCCAAAGTTGCCGATGTATATCGCTACTTTTTCCCGTTATTTGTAAAAAAATGACGGAGGGACGGGCATATAGTATGATGCCTGCTGTGCGCCGTCCGTCCGTTCGTCCGTTCGTCCGTCCGAGGACTTCCCCTGGTCCGATCTTGACAAATTTTGGGATGCAGCCTCCTTTGGGGGACCCTTAGAACCGCCCGGTGGCAGCAAATCCGATCCGAGCCCGGGGGGGCTGCTGCAGGTGCATCATGGTCTACATGGGGTCGAGGAGGATCTCGGCAAAGGATGCAGCTAGAAGGGGATGTAGGGGTATTTTTGGAATCGGGGCGACGAGAAAAAACCAATGGTGCCAGTTTCGAGCGAATCGGAGAAGTTCGGACCCGGGTTCAAATCCCAGCGGGGCATTTTTGAACATTCTTTTTATTCGAGTTTTTGCATTGTTTCTGATGTCCTTGAGGGTGCTGATGACGGAAACTACATTTATTTTAACCCCAGACTCAGGTTTAATTCCCGTCAGGGTCAAACATAGGCGAAATTCGTACGTTTCTTAATGTACGGGACGGGCCAAAGTTGCCGATGAATATCGCTAC